TTTTTTTTTTTTTATAATTTGCAATAATTATTATTATCACCGTGGCCATCATCATCATCATCATTATTATTATTAAGGTTTGAAGTGTATTTTATTTTAAGGTGGTTGTTTTTAATTAAATACCCCCGTGATCTAATTAAAATTAATTAAAGGTATATGTTGAAAAAAACCAGTTTCTAGTATTATCCTCCCCCCCTCACCCCCTCACCCTCATCCCCCTCCTAACTAAATAAAAAAAAACCACGCATTCACACGCATTCACGCACTTCGTTGAAAAAAAAAAAACCAAGCGTTCGAATTAGAGAGAAAGAAAACAATAAATGCGAGAGAAGAATTTTAAAAATGGCGGATGATTTAAATACTTATTGCAAAAATATTTTTTTGTTTTTTTGTTTTTGTTTTCGTTAAAATATTTTCTTTTTTTTTTTAATACGTTTTAATATGTTTTATTTTCACGATTAATTATAATATATAGAAATACAAACGAGTTTATTTTTTGTTCGATGAATAATATAAACGAAAAAAGTTTTTCGTAAGGAAAAAACAAACAAACGAACAAACAAACAAACGACAACCGCAAATTATTTAACGGTTTTTTTGCACGGCGTTAAATTTATTCGAGTGGTGAAAAATTGTGTAACAAAACGAATAAAAAGAAGAAATTAAATTTAGTAGAGGTCGAATATATATATATTTATCCATACGAACCTTTGAATTTTTCATTTTGATCCTATGTAAACCTTAAACGTTTTTTAAAAAAAAAAAGGTTTTCTCATTCATTTGAACAATAACAACCCTTTCTTTTTCTTCCCTTTTCCGGCCCCCCTCCTCCCCCTCATTCCTTCTCTTCCAAATTTTATATCATTCATCAAAATTAAATATGAAATATTGAAAAAATTAAAACGATCCCAAAAAAAAACAAAAAAAAAAAACAAAAAAAATTATAAAACGTTGAAATAAAAAATAACGACGACAATAATAATAATAATAATAATAATAATAATAATAATAATAATAATAATAATAATGATAATATTTATTTTACCCATAGCTATCGTTAAATTTATAAAAAAAAATTAATATATAAGAAAAAATTTTCTTGGAAAAAAAAAACAGAAAAGAAAAGAAAAGCACAAAACAAAGGAAAAGGAAAAGGAAAAACGTTAAACACTTTCCAACACTTATTTAAATAAGACAATAAACATTTAAAACAATCGCTTCCACTTAAAGGCACATAAGGTACAGGTTTTAAAATTTACAAAAAAAAAAAAAAAAAAAAATTTATTTCACTGCCTCGTTTTTTGTTTATTGTAATTTAAAATTTTTTTTTTATTTTTTTATTATAATACGTTTTCCTATTTTGCCTTTTTCGAATATTTTTTTTTACCTCTTTTTTTTTTGCAAAAAAAAAAAAAAATTATTTACGGGAAAAAAACCTTTGAAAACAATCCTTTGATTCCTTTTTTCCACCCCCCTCTCTCTCTCACTCTCACTCTCTCCCTCACTCTTTTAGTAACATATTTGTTGAGTAATATAAAACTTTTAAATTTAAATTTTTGCTCTTTTGTTCTCCTTTTTTTTTTTTTTTTTTTTTTTTGATATTACGGTGAAAATAAGTTCAATAAAAGTTTTCTTTTTTTTTTTTGAAAGCTCGATAATCTTTTATTTCCTGTCCGAAATAAAATTAATACGAATCGCCTTTGACCTTTTGCCAAAAGAGAATCATTACCGTGTAGAAAGAAAGAAAGAAAGAAAGAAAAAGGGAAGGGAAGGGAAAGGAAGGGAGGGGGAAAAGGAGGGGGTAAAAAAAAAAGAAAAACTCAATCGATGATTTTATATATATGTTTAAGACCATAATCTATTGGCAAAAAAAATTTTTATTTAATTATTATTATTATTATTATTATTAATAAATTGCTTCTTTTTTTTTTGTTAAAATAATTATTTTATTTAAAAAAAAGGAAAAAAAAGGAAAAAAAAAAGGAAAAAAAGTTTTTGTTAAACAAGAGCAACAACAACAACAACAACAGGAGTTGATGTTTTGCGGTTTTTTTTTTTACAGGGTTTAGTAATATATCTTTATCAAATGTGTGAAAGCTAAACTAACTAACTAACACCCTCCCTTCCTCTCTCCCTTACTCCCTCTCTTCCTTCTTTCCTCCCTTTATCCCTACCCTCAACTTTTCTCCATTAACTTATCCAGTCAAAGGTAAGTTATTTGCTATAAATTTCAATTTTTTTTTCTTTTTTCTTTTTTTTTTTTTTTGGGGGGGGGGAGGGTTCAGACACTCCAGGTTTGTTCGTTACCCCAAAAATGTGTGGGAGATTTCAAACCTAACAAACAGATTCATTTAACTTTTCAACAACAACAACAACAACATTTTCCTTTTTTTTTTTTCTTTTTTGTTACAAATTAAAATAAATTTAAAGATTTATCGATTTGTTTTAAATTTAAAAAATCCGTGATTTATTTATTTAATAAAAAAAAAAATTTAATTTAATTTATAATATTAAGAAACTTTTTAAACAAAAAAGGAGAAGAAGGGGGCGGGGGAGGGGGCAAATTAAATTCGTTAATTTAAAATTTAAAAAATTAAAGAGACGCGAGAAAATTTAAAAAAAAAAAAAAAAAAAATTATTTAAACAAAAAAATGAGAGAGAGAGAGAGATAAAAACAAAAGAACCGAAACCTGAAAAACAAACAACCAGCACGAACGAACCAACGAACGAACAAACAAACAAACAAACTCGAAAAAATAAAATAAAATAAAAGGAGATGAAATATGAGAAGTTAACAAAAGGGACGATGGATGCCTAACAATTAATAATGACAATATCGAATTTTAGTCACCAACGTTTCGGGAAAACTCGAAAAAAAAAAATTTTTTTTTTTTTTTATCACGGAATGAGAGAGAGAGAGAGAGAGAGATCGAAGAGAAAGGGAGGGAGGAAAAAGGGATAATAGGAAACGATCAAAAAAAAAAAAAAAAAAAGGTTTTCCTTTGTCAAAAAGAGGAAAACGGAAGAGTCATAGAGAGAGAGAAAATCAGAGATAAAAGGAAAAGAATCCTTTAAATGGTCGGATCAGAGGAAACACAAGCTTTAAAACCGTTTGAGATTTGTGATAATGATAGAAGACGCCATTTTGTATAGAGAACAGAAGAAAAAATAATAATAATAATAATAATAATAATAATAATAATAATAAAGTCACCCGTAATAATATCAATCAACAATTATTATTGTTATTGATTTTTTATTTAAAAAAAAGGAAAAAAGGAAAAATCTTCTCCATTTTGTTTTTGTTTTTGTTTAATTCGATAAATAAATAAATAAAGAAATAATTTTTTTTTCTAATATTTTATGCCTTTTCCTTTTCCTAATCATTCATTTTATTTTTTTTTTATTTTTAATTTATTTTAATTCTCTTTTATCCTCCATTTTCCTTTTTTTCCCCCTTTTTTTTTTTTTTTAATTTAATTTTAAATTTAATATTTTTTCTGTTTTTTTTTTTTTTTTGTAATACATTTTTTAAAAATCAATTTTTATCAGTAAAAATTGGAGGTTGATAAAAAAATTTTTGTCGTTTTGAATTTACAAATAAACGTCGAATTTGTTTTGTTTTAAACGTCGTCTGCTTCGTAATTTTTTTTTACTATTATCATCATCCTTAGAAAAAAAAAAAAAGAGAAAAGAGAGAAAAGAAAAATTTCGCGGATGAAAAAATAACATAAAATCGGACAGATTTATAAAAAATTTGATTGAAATCTATTCTGTATTCAAATTGAAAGAATTTTCTCTCTTTCTCTCTCTCTCTCTCTCTCAAAGGTTTTTTGGTGTTGATCTTAACTGTTATGATGCTGGGAAAAGAAAACGAGATGAGAATATACAATTTTATATCGTCGTGTGTGATTAGAATTAGAAAAAAGGAAGAAAAGGCAAAGGATGGTACTGATGGCCTCATTTTTTTCTTTTTTTTTCACAACGGTTTTTTTTTCTTATTTCGTTTGTGCGGGTGTATTATTCGCATCTTCGAATATTTTCTTCCGTTTGTTTTCTTTTTATTTTTTTCATTGTCTTACTCACTCTCTCTCTCTCTCTCTCTCTCCCTCTCTCTTTAAAAAAAAAAAAAAACGCGGTGAGTGTGTGTGTGTGTGTGCTTCTGTTAGAAATCAAAAACAGTTTCGCGTTTTACTTTTTCCTTTTCCTTTTTTACTTTCCTTTTTCTTTCCTTTTTCTTTCCTTTCCATTTTCCTTTTTCCCTTTTTTTATTTACTGAATTATTTATTGTCACAAACATATGCTATCATCGTTTTCTAAATAAAACGATTATTGCTTAATCAGTTTTCATTATGTTACACTTAAACGAAACGATTTTTTCATCTTCTTTTTTACCTCCCTTTACAAATATTATTATTATTATTATTGTTATTATTATTATTATTATTATTATTATTATTATTATTATTACTTTTTTTTTTTTTAAATATGTTTACGATTTCGTTTTAATTTTAATTTTCTAAAAAAACGACACATCGTAAAACCTGACACGAAAAAAACAAAAAAAAACAAAAAAAATCAGGGAGAGAGATAGAGATAGAGAGAGAGAGAGAGAGAGAGAGAGTGTGTGTGTGTGTGTGTGTGTGTGATTCGTGACCTTTTAACCTCTTGAAAAAACGAAACGAAAAACAAAAAAAAATTTTTTTTTTTTTTTTTAATTAAATTTTTTTATTTTTTTTTGGACGTTACACAAACGTTTGAAATTTTAAACGACGACAAAATAATTTTTTTTTTTTTTTTACAATTACTCTCAACTTCACGTGAAAAAAAAGAAAAAAAAAAAAAAAAAGAAAAATTGAAGGGAACAAAAATGTCGAGGGAAAAGAATCGGGGGGTGGGGAGGTAGGAGGGGGAAGGAGAGGAAAATGGCGCGGTTAAATTAAAACATAATTTCTAACGGAATAACTAATGAGGG